TCGGGGCCTCCGCCCATCTCAACCCCCCAAATTTTGGGGTCTCCCCCTTTATCCCCCCAAATGTTGAGGTCTCCTCCCCAAATTTTTGAGTCCTGCCCCTCAATCTCCCCAAATTTTAGGGGCCCCCCCTTTCTTCTTCCCCCCATTTTTAGACTCCCAACCTCAACACCCCAAATTTTGGGCTCCCTCCCCTTTATTCCCCCTAAATTTTGAAGTCTGCCCCTCTCCCCCCATTGGGGGGACATCGGGGGGAAAGGCTGGATCCGTCACATGAAGAGACCCCCTGGAATGAGAGAGGGAAAGGGGGGACATTGGGGGGACATTGAGGGGACACACTGGGGGGACATTGGGGACACACTGGGGACATACTGGGGGGACATTGGAGGGACATTGGGGACACCCTGGGGGACACTGGGGGGACATTGAGGGGACACACTGGGGGGACACTGGGGGGACATTGGGGACACACTGGGGACACACTGGGGGGACATTGGGGACATTGGGGACACACTGGGGACACACTGGGGGACACTGGGGGGACATTGGGGACACACTGGGGACACACTGGGGGGACCCTGGGGACATGGGGGGTCCCCACCTGTCACCTCCAGGGTGGCCCCGGTGACGTAGCCGCTGTCCCCCGACACCAGGAAAGTCACCATGTCTACCACGTCTGGGGGACTCGGGGACACCAGGGGTGTGGTGGCACCTCCAAGTGTCCCCAAAGTGTCCCCAAAGTGTCCCCAACTCACCCTCAGGGTCCCCCAGTCGTCCCAGTGGCACCATCCCTGTGAACTGGGAGGGGGGGGAGACACACACACACAAGTGTCACCTCTGGTGTCACCTCTCCAATGTCCCCTAAGGTCCCCCAATGTCCCAAATGACCCCCCAGTGACCCCCCAATGTCCCCAGGAGGTGCCACCCCCCCACTGTCACCTTGTCCAGCACTTTTGGGGGCACTTTGTCCGTCATGGGGGTGACGATAAATCCCGGTAGGACGGAATTGCAGCAGATCCCAAACCTTGGGGGAGGGATTTTGGGGGGTCAGAGGGGTCCCTCCAACCTGTGTCACCCCCCCCCAGGGTGCTACCGACTCCCCCTCCGGGGTCACCAAACCCCCCCAATCCCATTTTCCCCCTGATTTCCCCCCAATTTTTCCCCATTTCCCTCCAAATTCCCCGAATCTCCCCCCTTTTTCCCCATTTCCCAATTTTCTCCCCAGTTTTCCCCATTTCTTCCCCCTTTTCACCCCAATTTCCTCCCAAATTCCCCCAATTTCCCCCCAATTTTTCCCCATTTCCCAATTTTCCCCCCAGTTTTCCTCAGTTCTTCCCCCTTTTCCCCCCAATTCCCCAATTTTTCCATATTTCCCCCCAAATTCCCCCTTTTCTCTCCAATTTTTACCCCATTCCCCCTTAAATTTTCCCAATTTCCCCTCCAATTTCCCCCCATTTCTTCCTTTTCCCCCAATTTCTCCCCAATTCCCCATTTCCCCCCAATTTCCACCCAAATCCCCCCCAAATCCCCCTAATTTCCCCCAAAATCTCCCCAATTTTCCCCCCAAAATCCCCCAAATTTTCCCCCAATCCCCCAACTTTCCCCCATTTCTCCCCAAATTTCCCCACTTTTTCTCCAATTTTTCCCCCGAATTTCCCCCCCATTTTCCTTTGTCCCCTCCCAGATGTCCCCCAATGTC